ATAATAATTTCTTGAGGGCGTTTTTAATAAAACAATTATTCCACTCGCGCTTGCTGGATATGAGATGATTATAGCCAACTCGGCGCTACGCGCCTCGTTGGCTATCCAACGCGCGCTCGTGGTATAATTGTTGAATAGACCACTTTCATAAATGGCTGCCGGATTAATATTCTTTTGTTTAAACTTAAATTAGCTTTTCTGGCCTCGCTTGAGATAATGTATTCTCTTCAATTTTGTACTGGAGAACGAGGCCAGAAGGGCTAATTTAAATTTAAACAAAAGAAAATTAATCCGGCAGCCATTTATGAAAGTGGTCTATGGTGTAACAGAAAGCTTGAATTAAGTGGTCCATGACAAGTGATAGTCCCTTGGGTGTTCTGTAACATGCCAATGATCGTAAAGGACCTAGTAGTGTACTATGTCAAGGGTCCACTAGTAGGCCGACCATGACTGACAACAGTAAGAAATATTTGTCTATGTCTTAAAAGTTAAGATTAAGTTGTGGTTACTCTGAAAGGCTCGTTCTAGTTTGTCTACAGCCGCCCTCTTCCCTTTCTTTTGAAGGCAGGGGGCGTCCGTACACACGCTACCTGACTCCAGTTAACAGCACGATTCAGTGACAAAGTTAAGCTCGCAATTCGAATACGCAGGGGTTTTTTTTGTTTTAAAGCCGTGTTGAAATGTTACTGCCATTTCGTGGACAAATCCTTAACCATGAGGTCAGGATAGGAGTGTGTTAGACCAGTGATAATAATTATGAGCGATAAAAATATATGCTTGTCTGTCTGTCTGTCTGTCTATGTGTGTCTTTCTCTATATATGGAGTGTTCAACAGTCGTGGTTTTTATCGCAGGCTAAGCTAAGCAGAGCTGACTGTAATGTTTTACCATCAACCGTGTGTGTCAACTTTGTAATTACAGGTTACTCAAGCAAGAAAGAAAAATGTACAACTATTCCTAAATACAAAGAATCAGGAAATTACTTTGAATGCCAGAAACCGGTTATTGGGAATGAATTGAAAATTATCTCGAAACGTCGCCGCACTTTAAAACTTTGTGAAGTGGAGGTTTTTCAGACAAAGACAGGTAAGAACACGACTTCTTTTACAGAAACAAATGTTACTCTTTTTCTAACGAATTTTTATTGATGAATCAAGATACCCATGTTAGCAAACGTTGAAAAATTCTGTGAAGTACATGAAGTGTGTTCTACTACTTTCCAAATCGATTATTTCTTACTTGTTTCAAATAACACTGAACACGTGATATATTTTTTAATTCTGCTTCAGTAAACCTAGCTGGGAAGCGTCCTGCGAAAGCTACGGTAAATAACCACGATGCATACAGAGGCTGTGATCAGAAAATAGGTATTGTATTTTTTTTATACGCAAATGTATTTACAGAATTTTTTTTTATTACATGTTCCTTTCTCGCTCAGTATTTACTATTAACCTTGTTCGTTTAATTTTGTCTTTCATCGCAGACAAGTCGTTCTCCATCCAAAAGGAGGGAATGAGAATGGGATGGTCTGTAGACTTGATAGCAGAATGCAAAGTCCATCTGGTGCGGATTGTAACAGCGACAGGCTACAAACCAGCTGACCTCAAAGGTTTAAAAGTTGTGATAGGCAAGTGATCGAGTACTTCTGACAGGCTCTTCTCTGAGGGCAAATTAAAAATCTCGGGCTTCACGACGAAAAAGTCAGAGCACCCTTGCCAAATGCTTTTTGAAAAATTCTTTTATTTTAATAAAACTTTTGTGTTTCCAACACAGGCACTAGTGAAGATTCTCTCTGGAGCAAAGGACATCGAGTTGCTAGTCTGGATTCTCCAACAGTAGAACCTGTCCAGACAATAATTCTTCCAAAGAACACTGGTGCGAGGTTTGTCGGCCTCACTTTTGAAAACGCTGGCGTCAAGCTCCAGTTCCGTGAGGTGGAAATTTACAATGGCCCGTTGTTAGGTAATAATATACAAATTAAACCAATCTCAATTTGATGATATTTTTTTAAAGCCATACTCTTGCTTGAGCATTAGTTGATGCAGAGCTATTTATAGCTGGAATCATTGTGTTGAATTATGGGCTTGAATTGTTCTTTTTCGAGGGGTCTGGTCATTGCATATCAATTTTGGTTCAGTAAATAGCAGTTATGTATGAGTTTTGACGCGTTAGGCGGCGAAGCTACGGTAGAGATGGAACGGGATAATCAGTTTATTCCCTCAAACATCCTCTGTTCTTTGTCCTAGCACCTAAAAAACCACCATCAACGCAAGTTTATATAATATTCACTTTTTTGCCCTTAAAGTTTCTTTTTTTACGTTTTCTAGTTGTTGATGTCTGTAAAAAGCCTGATACTTGTGGCGAATATTACAAATGTGTGAATGGGAAAAAAGCTCCCACGTGTATTTGTCCAGGTGGATTCCAAATAACAGGGCCGTATAATAAGTGCAAAGGTATGTGAAACAAAAGGCGGATTTTGGTTTTGCTCTGACGACTTCAATACATTTTTTTCTTTGACTTACTATCGGATTACGCAGAGATATTTTGTTTCTTTAAATTACGCTGTAATTTAATTTATATAAACGTTTTCTCATTAGCTCCTCGAAGTGGTTGCTCGTTCAATCTCGATTTCATCGATTGCAAATACCGGTATTAGTCGTTAATACATATTACACAGGTGAATAGTGCGAGACAAAATAGCGCGTCAGTGGTTTTATTTCTGACCAAATTCAGTATACTGTTAGGTTCTGAGTGGTACATACCAAAACAATTTTTCACCCCTGTATCAGGGCCACTGGAAGTGGTGCCGGATATTCACGCCCGCCTCAGTGGATATAGCAGCGTGCATGACGTCATAACGACGTAAACTATATACAATTACAATTACAATTACAATTTATCACTTATAGAGCGCTATTTACAATGACAGATCAACAGCGCTTTACAATCAATCCTAACAAGCCCATCCCACCCCAGGGGAGGACATCCATCACACAGTAATCTCGTGCGTGGGAAATTAACGTCTCCTACCCCTAACCCTGTAGGAGACGGGACCTCCATTTATTCGTCCCTATCCGAGAAGACTAGAATATCTAACCATTTCTTGATGTTATAGAAAGGTAGCATATTCTTCTCAATTATTTTAAGACCTTGAGTGTTGGTCCGGCCGGGGCTCGAACCCTCGACCTCCCGCACAACAGTCCAGCGCTCTATCCATTGAGCTAACCGGGAGGCGGTTAATGTTATCCTAAATTGTAGTTCATAGTTTTATATTTTTATATATGTATTATTACTCTTAATTATTATTTAACTTAGATAGATAGTAGATAGATAGTAGATAGGCAGGTCCACATCAGGACTTCAGTCTCGCGTATTCTGTAACCTGCGTTATCAAATAAACTATGTATGTATGTATGTATGTATTTATGTATGTATGTATGTATGTATGTATGTATGTA